GTTATTAATACCTGAAGCTCTGAGTTATTAACACCTGAAACTCTGAGTTATTAATACCTGAAGCTCTGAGTTATTAACACCTGAAGCTCTGAGTTATTAATACCTGAAGCTCTGAGTTATTAACACCTGAAGCTCTGAGTTATTAACACCTGAAGCTCTGAGTTATTAATACCTGAAGCTCTGAGTTTTTAACCTGAAGCTCTGAGTTATTAATACCTGAAGCTCTGAGTTATTAATACCTGAAACTCTGAGTTATTAATACCTGAAACTCTGAGTTATTAACACCTGAAGCTCTGAGTTATTAATACCTGAAGCTCTGAGTTATTAACACCTGAAGCTCTGAGTTATTAATACCTGAAGTTGAGTTATTAACACCTGAAACTCTGAGTTATTAATACCTGAAGCTCTGAGTTATTAATACCTGAAACTCTGAGTTATTAATACCTGAAGCTCTGAGTTATTAATACCTGAAACTCTGAGTTATTAATACCTGAAGCTCTGAGTTATTAATACCTGAAGCTCTGAGTTATTAATACCTGAAGCTCTGAGTTATTAATACCTGAAACTCTGAGTTATTAATACCTGAAGCTCTGAGTTATTAATACCTGAAGCTCTGAGTTATTAATACCTGAAGCTCTGAGTTATTAACACCTGAAACTCTGAGTTATTAATACCTGAAGCTCTGAGTTATTAATACCTGAAGCTCTGAGTTATTAATACCTGAAACTCTGAGTTATTAATACCTGAAGCTCTGAGTTATTAATACCTGAAGCTCTGAGTTATTAATACCTGAAGCTCTGAGTTATTAATACCTGAAGCTCTGAGTTATTAATACCTGAAACTCTGAGTTATTAATACCTGAAGCTCTGAGTTATTAATACCTGAAGCTCTGAGTTATTAACACCTGAAACTCTGAGTTATTAATATCTGAAGCTCTGAGTTATTAATACCTGAAGCTCTGAGTTATTAATACTTGAAACTCTGAGTTATTAATACCTGAAGCTCTGAGTTATTAATACCTGAAGCTCTGAGTTATTAATACCTGAAGCTCTGAGTTATTAATACCTGAAGCTCTGAGTTATTAATACTTGAAACTCTGAGTTATTAATATCTGAAGCTCTGAGTTATTAACACCTGAAACTCTGAGTTATTAATACCTGAAGCTCTGAGTTATTAATACTTGAAACTCTGAGTTATTAATACCTGAAGCTCTGAGTTATTAATATCTGAAGCTCTGAGTTATTAACACCTGAAACTCTGAGTTATTAATATCTGAAGCTCTGAGTTATTAATACCTGAAGCTCTGAGTTATTAATACCTGAAGCTCTGAGTTATTAACACTGAAGCTCTGAGTTATTAACACCTGAAGCTCTGAGTTATTAATACCTGAAGCTCTGAGTTATTAATACCTGAAACTCTGAGTTATTAATACCTGAAGCTCTGAGTTATTAACACCTGAAGCTCTGAGTTATTAATACCTGAAGCTCTGAGTTATTAACACCTGAAGCTCTGAGTTATTAACACCTGAAGCTCTGAGTTATTAACACCTGAAGCTCTGAGTTATTAATACCTGAAGCTCTGAGTTATTAACACCTGAAGCTCTGAGTTATTAACACCTGAAGCTCTGAGTTATTAATACCTGAAGCTCTGAGTTATTAACACCTGAAGCTCTGAGTTATTAACACCTGAAGCTCTGAGTTATTAACACCTGAAGCTCTGAGTTATTAATACCTGAAGCTCTGAGTTATTAACACCTGAAACTCTGAGTTATTAATACCTGAAGCTCTGAGTTATTAACACCTGAAGCTCTGAGTTATTAATACCTGAAGCTCTGAGTTATTAACACCTGAAGCTCTGAGTTATTAACACCTGAAGCTCTGAGTTATTAATACCTGAAGCTCTGAGTTATTAACACCTGAAACTCTGAGTTATTAATACCTGAAGCTCTGAGTTATTAACACCTGAAGCTCTGAGTTATTAATACCTGAAGCTCTGAGTTATTAACACCTGAAGCTCTGAGTTATTAACACCTGAAGCTCTGAGTTATTAACACCTGAAGCTCTGAGTTATTAATACCTGAAGCTCTGAGTTATTAACACCTGAAGCTCTGAGTTATTAACACCTGAAGCTCTGAGTTATTAATACCTGAAGCTCTGAGTTTATTAACACCTGAAGCTCTGAGTTATTAACACCTGAAGCTCTGAGTTATTAACACCTGAAGCTCTGAGTTATTAATACCTGAAGCTCTGAGTTATTAACACCTGAAACTCTGAGTTATTAATACCTGAAGCTCTGAGTTATTAACACCTGAAGCTCTGAGTTATTAATACCTGAAGCTCTGAGTTATTAACACCTGAAGCTCTGAGTTATTAACACCTGAAGCTCTGAGTTATTAATACCTGAAGCTCTGAGTTATTAATACCTGAAGCTCTGAGTTTTAACACCTGAAGCTCTGAGTTATTAATACCTGAAGCTCTGAGTTATTAATACCTGAAGCTCTTAGTTATTAATACCTGAAGCTCTGAGTTATTAATACCTGAAGCTCTGAGTTATTAATACCTGAAACTCTGAGTTATTAACACCTGAATCTCTGAGTTATTAATACCTGAAGCTTTGAGTTATTAATACCTGAAGCTCTGAGTTATTAATACCTGAAGCTTTGAGTTATTAATACCTGAAGCTCTGAGTTATTAATACCTGAAGCTCTGAGTTATTAACACCTGAAGCTCTGAGTTATTAATACCTGAAGCTCTGAGTTATTAATATCTGAAGCTCTGAGTTATTAATACCTGAAGCTCTGAGTTATTAATACCTGAAGCTCTGAGTTATTAACACCTGAAGCTCTGAGTTATTAACACCTGAAGCTCTGAGTTATTAATACCTGAAGCTCTGAGTTATTAATATCTGAAGCTCTGAGTTATTAATACCTGAAACTCTGAGTTATTAATATCTGAAGCTCTGAGTTATTAATACCTGAAGCTCTGAGTTATTAATATCTGAAGCTCTGAGTTATTAATACCTGAAGCTCTGAGTTATTAATACCTGAAGCTCTGAGTTATTAATATCTGAAGCTCTGAGTTATTAATACCTGAAGCTCTGAGTTATTAATACCTGAAGCTCTGAGTTATTAATACCTGAAGCTCTGAGTTATTAATACCTGAAACTCTGAGTTATTAACACCTGAAGCTCTGAGTTATTAATACCTGAAACTCTGAGTTATTAATACCTGAAGCTCTGAGTTATTAACACCTGAAACTCTGAGTTATTAATACCTGAAACTCTGAGTTATTAATACTTGAAGCTCTGAGTTATTAATACCTGAAGCTCTGAGTTATTAATACCTGAAGCTCTGAGTTATTAACACCTGAAACTCTGAGTTATTAATACCTGAAGGTCTGAGTTATTAATACCTGAAGCTCTGAGTTATTAATACCTGAAGCTCTGAGTTATTAATACCTGAAGCTCTGAGTTATTAATACCTGAAGTTCTGAGTTATTAATACCTGAAGCTCTGAGTTATTAATACCTGAAGCTCTGAGTTATTAATACCTGAAGCTCTGAGTTATTAATACCTGAAGCTCTGAGTTATTAATACCTGAAGCTCTGAGTTATTAATGTCTGAAGCTCTGAGTTATTAATACCTGAAGCTCTGAGTTATTAATACCTGAAACTCTGAGTTATTAATACCTGAAGCTCTGAGTTATTAACACCTGAAGCTCTGAGTTATTAATACCTGAAGCTTTGAGTTATTAATACCTGAAACTCTGAGTTATTAATACCTGAAGGTCTGAGTTATTAATACCTGAAGCTCTGAGTTTATTAACACCTGAAGCTCTGAGTTATTTAATACCTGAAGGTCTGAGTTATTAATACCTGAAGCTCTGAGTTATTAATACCTGAAGCTCTGAGTTATTAATACCTGAAGCTCTGAGTTATTAATGTCTGAAGCTCTGAGTTATTAACACCTGAAGCTCTGAGTTATTAATACCTGAAACTCTGAGTTATTAATACCTGAAGCTCTGAGTTATTAACACCTGAAGCTCTGAGTTATTAATACCTGAAGCTCTGAGTTATTAATACCTGAAGCTCTGAGTTATTAATGTTGAAGCTCTGAGTTATTAATACCTGAAGCTCTGAGTTATTAATACCTGAAGCTCTGAGTTATTAACACCTGAAGCTCTGAGTTATTAATACCTGAAGCTCTGAGTTATTAATACCTGAAACTCTGAGTTATTAATACCTGAAGCTCTGAGTTATTAATATCTGAAACTCTGAGTTATTAATGTTGAAATTCAAACAAGTTGAATCACTTCAATGTTTCAGGCTTTAATTCATCATAATACTGGAAAACATAACAAAATAAACACTTTATAAAAAAGCACAAACATGTAAACCTGATAAACACATTGAGGTCAGATTAAATACAAACAGAAAAATCTCAATAAAATATTCATTATTCTTCATGTTTCCAACATTTTTCTTTCTCTTGCTGCAACATGGATCCTGATGAAGCTTCATGTCTGCAGACATTCAGGATTTTCCTCAGATTATCACCAAATGACCAGGAAACACTTTTCTGCTCCTCAGATTAAAGTTGAGGATGGATCCACTGATGTGAAATGGATCAATAACAAACGGCCCAAAATCAGCTGATGCTGCTGGGACTGACGCATCATTTAAATCACCAACCTGGACGCATCTGAGAAAGATTTTACTGATGGAAGTTCTGCAGATTATAATCCAGAGACATGGATTATGGTCCATTTCACATCAGTGGATGTCAGGCCTGTATAAAAGTGACATCATGATTGATCAGATCAGGAAGTTGATCAGCTGTGATGTTGACCAACTATCAGTCCGATGGATCCATCCTGGTTTCCTGAGTTCTTGTCTCCTGCAGACAAAGACGGAACTAGAATCAGTGAATCAAATGATCCCAGGTGTTTCTGAGATCCAGAACCAGGAAGGTGCTGGTTCTGATCCAGAGTTAAAGAGACTCACCTGGAGGAGGATGAAGGGAAACATGCAGGTTGATGGTTCTGATCAGTTCAGCATCCAGGCTTCCTTGATTTTGAACTCGACATTCATATGTTCCATTATCGCTGGTCGTCACGTTCATCACAACCAGAGACACGTTTCCATCCTTCATCTGTCTGTCTGCCAGATCCACTCGGTTCTTGTAAGATCGGTGCTGGATAGATGGATCAATCTGATCGTTTCTAAACAGAAGAACAAATTCCTCCTCCAGATCGGTTCTGCTCCACTCCACAGCTACAGGTTTGTTCCCAGTAGTTGTTGTTGTACAGTTCAGAGTGACGTTCTGTCCAGAATAACCTGTGACGTCTGGAACAACAGAGAGGTCAAAGGTCAAAGAGGATTGTGTACTTCCATGGCAGGTTAAAATGCTTCACCAAGTCACTTCAGTGGTTAACAGTCACTGAGACCAACTTAGTGACTGACGACACGTTGATCCACTTTTCAGACCCTGGAGCTTCATGTTCTGAGATCCAGAACCAGGAAGCTACAGATGTTGGGTTTAAATGCTTTGTGGATAAAAACAGGATTTATTTTTAGCTTGTTTAGGTAACAAACATCTGTTAGAAACTGAACAAGTTTTGCTCGTACAAGTAACAAAGTCTTCTGTAGAGAAATGTTGAAAGCACAAATATAGATCCTGTGAAAGTTCAGCTCTCTCTCACTGCACTCTTCTTATGCAATGAACAGCAAAACTAAAGATTGATTTACTGAACATGATGGCTGAGAGAGGAAAGATGAGGAAGCAATCAGAGCAAGTCAATCTGAGTACCGGGTCAGAACCAGAACATCTTAGTAGATGTCAGGCTGCTGTTGATCCCAGCTGGCATGGAGACGAGATGTTCTCGACCTAGATCTGGATCCACACCTACATTCTAGATTCTAGATCTAGATCCAGATCCAGATCTGTGTGAATTGGTCTCTAAATGATGCCTGATTGTCTGAGCTGTTAATCAGTCCAGATCTTCTTCACTTTCAGGCTTTAGCTGCATGAACTAGATTTAGACAAGAATCGTTTTCCTTTCAACCGGAAGTCAGAGCTCAGATCAGGGCGTGACGTCACCAGAAGCTTGGTCTCTATGTTAGCTGGTTTTACAAACATTGAGGTTTTATCATGATTTATTGTTCTTATTATGACTCTAATATAACCGGACTATAATGTTTCGCATTGTGTTCAACTGCTAGCAACGTCATCATCGCATCATCCGAGTTTCCTGATGGTCTTTTGTCTCTGGATCAACAGATTGTGAGAATCTTGCGTTAAGATGAAGGCGGATTAAAAACTCACCTTCAGCAGAGACAGAACCGATACTGAGAGTCCAGCAGAACCACACGATCATGAAACGAACCATTTCTACAGTCTGTATGTTAGACGTAACGTTATATGGCGGTGATGGGTCCCCGATGCGCATGCGCCAAGCTCTCAGACCAACCCGTCTCTGTGCGCGTGATGCTTTCAACGAGTCACGTGAGCGACAGAAAAACACTGAGGCGCCAAACTGTTTATAAGGAAGCGAATCTGTCAACGGGATGAATGGTTGTTTGGTGGAAGAGGCGGAAACGAGAGAACAGAATTTGAATTTTGGCGGATCGCATAAGCTGTACATTGACTGTAGCAGCATGGCTTCTACATTTCAACTTTGGAAAGATGTTAAAAACTGGTTATGTCTCAAACTTGAAGACATCCCTGAGATAAATATCACCCACATTTTGTATTATGTTGATAACCTTGATGATCAAATATCTGATATGGTGAATTGTTTTCTTACTTGTTAAATATCATATACATTGCTGTAAATGGAGAGGTTCTACTCCTAGTTTTGATTTTTTATTAAACTGATTCAGAAGAATCAGTTTAAGCTGTTTTATGCTTCCCTGAAACTTTTGAAAACTAGGTATGCAAAAAAAGTGACTGACAGTATCTCTACTTTTCTTTTGTTTTGAATCTTGCTTGGTTTTTTAGTCATTTGCCTTACAGTTTGTTTGTTTTTTCTGTCTGTATTTTCAGCCCCTTGTTTCTTTGTTTCTTATTTACCTATGTTGTAATGTTCTTTGTACCTCAACGAGTCTTTGTATACTGTTCGCATTAAAAAAAAAAAAAGCATGGCTTCTACATCAGGAGGAAATAGTGGGAATGAGATGATTGGATGATTTCTAGATCATCACGAATGAAAAGAGCATTTAGGAAAAGACAAGAAAGAGTTATTCTGAAGTTGGTCAGAAGGAAGTGAGGCAAGAGTTGACATTAGCAGAAGGACAAAAACAAACTAAAGGGCGAATTCAGAAGAACAGAGTCAAGTTAATTTAGAAGCAGAATTTAAAGTTATGGTAGAATTCAAGCAAGAGGGGGGAAGCTATACATCCCATAAAACTGACCAAAGCAATAGAGGCAGAAATAGGAAAAACCAAAATGGCTAGAATCATGAACAGAAGAATGCTAATACATGCTAACAGTGAATCACAGCAACAGAAGATCATGAAAATGAAAACCCTGATGGGGGAAAGAGTTAGAATCAAATCCCAGGATTGTTAGCGAGGCTGAGAGGAGAGATTTCAGGAGTTCTGCTGGAAATGACAATGGATCAGTCTTGTATAGTAAGGAAGTAAAAATACTTCACTACTTTACTTAAGTATATTTTAGAGTACTTCATACTTTCCTCCAGTATGAAAATGTTTGATAACTTTCACTTTTACTTCACTACATTTCTGAACTTAATTTCATACTTTTACTCCGATACATTTTCAATGTGTGGTTTAGTTACTCGTTACAAAAAAACGAGAGAAACGCAAATGTTTTGACCAACCTACTGATCAACTGCAACAAAGCCTGTTAGCCTGGGTTTGTTCATCTCCACCAATAGGATGCTCAGGTTTCACCGCCCCACTACGTCACAAAGTCCAGCAAACAGTCTGATTGGTTAGTGCTCCGTTTGTGCCGTTAAAATGTTCGATTGTGCATCTTTGGTTTCCGAGATATTAAAATGATTTTTTAGGCCATCCAGAGTTACCATCCCCGCATTTTGCTCCAAAACAAACCAAAGTGGGCTGGTTCATTAGTGCTCCGTTTGTGCCGTTAAAACAAACGCAGCAAAGTTGTTTTCAGTTTGGATTTTGACTGTTCCAATATCCTGTGTAAGCAGCGTCTAACTCGAGGTTGATCTGATTCATGTACGCTAATTTCGGCCAGCCGGTCTCTGGTCTCCTCCTTCCTCAAGGAGTCAGAGTTTCACTCAGGGAGAGTCAACAAATTTTACATCCAAAACTCTCCTGAGAAACTAATGGAAATAGATTTCTTGTCTTGTGAACAACTGACACTAAATTCATGCTGTTACACGAGACACACTGTTCTCCAGTGAATTTTTAGTCATACTCAATATTCTCAGTAATTGTAACCTTAAAAAGTATATATTTTGGATGACCTAAAAAATCATTTTTAATATCTCGGAAACCAAAGCTGCACAAACTGAGCACAAACCAATCAGAGTATTTGTTGGATTATTTGAGTAGATGGGGTTCAGCTTCACTGAGGTCTGTTTCCTTCTCCCATTAAACACCAAGTTAACTAAAATCTCTCCTCTTCAGATGCCAATAAGCTGCATTTCCCTCCCAATTCTTTTTCTTTTGCATAATGACCAGTTGTTGCACCTATAGTGTGTGAAGTAGAGGAATCCTAACGGGTTTTTTCTTCATGTTTGCTGCATTTTCTGTTCTGACTATTTATTTTTCTCATTTTCAGCACTGACCTTACTGAAAGGGAAAACTGGAGGCTTATAGAAACTTTGTATTTTCTGTCCTGGAGGATTTACTAAGAATCTGGTTCAGTTGGAAAGCAGGTTAAATTAACTTAAAACAGGTTAAGTTAACCTAAAGCAGGTTAAATTAACCTAAAGCAGGTTAAGTTAACTTAAAACAGGTTAAGTTAACCTAAAGCAGGTTAAGTTAACTTAAAACAGGTTAAGTTAACCTAAAGCAGGTTAAATTAACCTAAAGCAGGTTAAGTTAACCTAAAGCAGGTTAAGTTAATCTAAAGCAGGTTAAGTTATCCTTGGGTTTAGGTAAAGCATCTAATGTTCTTAACTAAATGATGCTGCAGGTTTATCTATTAGCAGGTTTCATTTTCTCTGCACTTGGTTGTTTTCATTTTTTAAGTGTATTTAACAAGTTTACCAAAATATAAAAAATGTCATTCAAACTGCATTTGCCTTGTTTTACTTTTTACTTTTCATTACATTAGTGAGTTCATCCATTGTTACAGTAATTTCAATACTTAAATACAAGACATTTCAGATACTTAAGACTTTAACTCAAGTAACATTTCAGTGACTTTTACTTTTACCAAAGTCATATTTTGGAGAGAAACCTCTACTTTTACTGGACTCTGAGATTTCAATACTTTAGACAACACTGCAATGGAGGATGTGAAAAAAGAAATCAAAGGGGGGAAAATAACAGATGCCACTAGGATTAAAAGTAAAGAGATGGGGAACCTAAAGACAATATGGCAGTAATTTTACAGTTTCAAAATATTGTGCCATCATATTGTGCCATATCCAGCTGAACTATAGAGTTAGAGAGTAAATCCCTAAACCCCTCCGCTGTTTTAAGTGTCAAAGAATGAGACACACTGCAAAGGAATGCAAAGGAAAAATCAGGTGTGCAAGATGTGGAGGCCCACATGAATATGGAAAATGTGAGAAAGATGCAAAAATCAAATGTTGTAATTGTGGAGGAGAACACAGTGCAGCTTATGGCGGTTGCCAAATACAAAAGGAAGCTAGGGAAGCTCAAAGAATTAAAATTACAGAAAGAATTTCATATGCTGAAGCCTTAAAAAGAGTAAAGAAAGACAGTGGTAGAGGAAGAGGAGAAACAGGTCAAAGAAACTCAGTTTGGAATACAAATCAAGTGCAGAACGGGCAGAGACAAATCCTAGTCAATCCAAATATCCCAAAATATATGGTTTTGGATATTTGCATTTGAATAAAAAGAAAACTTTGTAGCATTTATATGCCATATTATTAATGTAACAGTGCAAATGAAGAAAAAAGTGATAAAATAAAAGCAGCTGGAAGATTTTTAGATATGAAAGAAATACAAGCAGATCAAATAGATACCATTTCTGAAACTACAGAAAATATTCAGGATTTGGATCCAACCGTTCTTTTTAATGGTTTTACATATCCTTCAGTGGGATGCTCGAAGCTTAATAGCCAATGGACAAGAATTTAAAAAGTATATTTATGAATTAGAAATAATCCCTGATATTATATGTATTCAGAAAACATGGTTTAAAACCAAACCTAGACTTTAAGATTCCTGGATCCAGCATGGAAAGACAGGATAGAAGTGATGGTAATGGAGGAGGATGTGCTACTTTATTAAAGATGGAATAGCTTATAAGAAAATCCCAATGAATAATGAATTAGAATGTGTTATTATAGAAATATTTAATGTAAGACAATATGGTAATATTAAAATGATAAACTATTATATTCCATGTAAAAATCTCGATTGTAAAATGCTTAAGGAAATGGCTGGGAAATTACATAGAAGAGAATTATGGTGCGGTGATTTTAATAGTCTCTGGGCAGCAAGAAGACGGACCAAAATGGCAACATAAGAGAAATATGGATGAAGGTCATTAGTTTGTCTTAACAATGGAAAAGAAACCAGAGATAAAAATACAACCTCATGTCTAGATATACATTAGCATCTGATTGTCTTGTAGGTTCATGTGAATGGGACGTCAACAGGGAATCTACAATAGGAAGTGATCATTTTCCAGTGAGTACAATAATTAATGATAATATAAAGAAACAAGAAGATGTCATAATCACAAGATGGTGTTTTAATAAAGCTGATTGGAAAAAAATTTAAATAAATTGTGAGGAAAGCAGACATTTGGTTACATTAAAAGGCAATATAGAAGAGTGTACAAGCCAGATAACAAATCATATTTTAAATGCTGCAAATTCAAGTATACCAAAAATAATAATAAAAGGGAAGAAAAAAGTAGTCCCTTGGTGGAATGATGAATGTACCAGAGCGGTTAAAGATCGTAACAGGACATTTAAAATACTGTAGAAAAATGTAACAATAGAAACTCTTATTGATTATGAAAAGAAAAGAGCAGTGGCTCGTAAAACTGTTAAGGAAGTTAAAAAGAAAACATGGAGAGAATAGTTGAGCAGAGCAGCTGTTCCTACAGAGAAAATTGTCTTTATGTGTTTTACTGCAGTTAAACTTTTGAAATGATTGTTGAAATGTCTCTGCTGCTTAATGAGGAGCAGAGTGTGGAGCCCAGCAGAATGGATTATTGATCGGGTTGTTTCTGTTGATCAGATCCGATCAAACTGAACCTTTAAGGTGAACGAAGGAGAACAGCAACAAGCAGAGGCTGAGCAGCAGCAGCTGCTTTATTACAGGCAGAAACATGTTGGATCATGTGAGTTATGCAGATATCAGAAGTTATGCAGAGACAGGAAGTGACATCAGACATGGAGG